TATAAGCAAGCTCTGTAGTGTCTGTTCTGTGAGCCAATTGTAAACCACCATTCTGCTCATATTTCACATTTTGTAAGTTAGAGGTCATTGTATTTCACTTCTGCTTTGAAATGGTGCACATCCTTCAGGCTCCCTGCAAGTGCACTGTCTCTTTATGGGCTATGTCTGCCTGAAGACTATGGTGGTGCCATCTAGTGGCAAAAGCATATGCATGCTTACACATTCAATAGTAGTATTCTATTGTGCAATATCTACATACTGTATCTTATGGCAGGTTTTTGAAAAGGCCTCCTCCAGATACAGCTTTTCATTTGCATATCTCACATGACATTGCAACATCATGGAAACATAGTAACATAGTAAGAATGTACTAAACTGTAAATCAAGTAAAAACTGGTCACCCTCCCAGGTCTTCTTTTAAAGGGACAGTTTAAACACCAGAACCAATATAGTATCTTTCTTGTAATTAGTGTCTTTTTACATTGAGCTGTAAGAACGCCTCTGGCACCTGTTACTCAGACAGCCACTAGGGGTGCTTCCTCCTTACAGTAAGGCAATGTTTTTATGACTGATGTCAGAAGCTGAACGGTCCCCGAAGAAATGCATTAATATTATGCATCTCTTCGATGAGATGCTGACTGACTCAGTGCAGCAATTGTTGCGCATGTCCATAGAGATGTGGCTGAGATCATTATTAATGATGATCTCAGTAAGTGGCAAAGTGGCAACCACAGCAAGACTAGATAACGTGTGACTAATTATTTACCAGGTTTACATGTTAATGGAAGACTTGAGAATAATCATTTTGTTTCTTTTTATTAGCATGACTTGCTGCTCAATGGTATTGCTATGGCCTACACACCTACAGGTGGAAAAAAGCCATAAAAAGAGAGTGCACTCGCAGGGACAAAGTATCTCCAAACACGGAAAGTTTGCATACTCACAGTAATTAATAGCAGGTGATGGGTCATTAGATAACCATGTCCCTATTTTAACCTCAATCATTTGAAGTCATCATCCAGCGTTGCTCTCCTTGAAGTTCCAAGCTGTAAACCCCTGACCTCTGGACCTTGCAGCCTTTCCACCTGAATATATATTGTGCCAAATCAGCTCTGGTCATGGCTTGTCTGAAGGAATTCCACACCGCAGCTGCTGACTAGGTTTTCCACTGGCTGATGGCAACATACTGCATTTTTTTCCTCGATTGCGGAACTGAGGAATTCCATGGTGAGTGTACACATACACTCTTGTTAAGGGTAATGACAGATTTTAGAAGTGATTACTTTAGAATTACAAATCAGGAAATCAGGATAACTCGTATTACGAGAATTTATCATTCCAAAACTACTGAATTCTTCTTAAAGTCTTGGGTGGATCAATAATGCTTTTATTTTTTATTTTTTTTACAAATTGCTGAGGATATTGATAATTATGTAATTTAGCTATTATAAGAAACAAGAAATAGACAGGCTGACAGACAGACACAATTTCAAGAAGTATTTGTGGACTACAGGTATGCAATATACGCGAAAAGTTTATAAATTGTTTCTAATATGAAAAATATCAATTATCTGCAATCTAAGCTTTATCTATTTATCAACATTCAGATTCGATTTACAGGAACACTCCAAGTGCTGATTGGTTATGTTGCCCGAATTGCCCTAACATCCACCCCATTGTAAGTAGTCAAGCTGTTTAGATCTCTTTGAATGCTCCATCATGATGGTCGGGCCATACTGATGGAGGTTTCAGTAACATATAATGTATCACCTCAATATTCAAACAGCCTCCATCTGTCAAACTCATATGTT